CTCCAGGTGTGGTAGCACAGAGCTGGTCAGTAACAATCTCTCTCTTGGGGGGATGGTACTAACCAGAATTAATCCAAGGCATCATTATGCTACAGTTATCCTGAATACTAATTATAGCACTTGAAAACATTTTATCATTATTAGTGTTAGGGACTTTTGAAGTTATGGCTGTTTCTTATTTCTGTTTACCATGTCTCACCTTTTACTGAAAAACAGCTAAGGAATTCTACAAAACTGCTGCTGCTACACTGAATTTCATCTGACTTCTTTCTGAGTAGAAAATTGAGGAGTATCGCATTTCTCAAATAGTCTGGGCTATCACATATCTGAAATCAGGTTTTTTCACATAAGTTCACTAAAAGAATTATGAAATATCAGCAAAGCATATGCTGTAACTTATACCTTTGCTCCATCTGAGGAAGACTGCTGAATCTGGCTCAGGGAATTGAATAGTCTGTGGTTTTGATTGTTCTGAATATCCACATGAATGTTAATTTGAGAGATCACAAGATAAAATCTGGAGTTTGTGTCAAAATAAAATGATAAAGTCTGGGATTTGAAATTTGATATTTGTTACCTATCTTAATATCATCTTTTAGCCTCTTTTCTCAAATGTGTTAATAATGTGAAGGGACGTAAAGCTGTTAATAATTCATCTCTGCCTCTCTGTTCCTTGTACATGCATACCTAACCAGTAGAACAGGGCAGAAGTTTCAGGAGAGTTTCCCTCATGACACTCACCTTTGCCTCTGGAATCATCTCATGAATTCAGAATGGGAGGTTGTAGCCAAGGTCTGCCTTTCTTAACGAATATTTTCATTTAGGCTCTACTCAGTGACAGTCTCTATAGTGCATTAATTGGTTCTGCTTGTAATCAACAAACCTGAGGATTTCTACTGTAAATGTGCAGAAATAACAGAAAAACATGGCTTACTCTTTCTTAAATTATTTCCAGTCTTGTATCTCAATAATGCAAACAGAAGTGAGAGGGATATCAAACCCAATGAATAATTTATAAAGCATCAAATCTATCCACATGCCAAACAGGAAAATCATCAAGAGGGAACGTGAGTAAAGCCGAATGTGTACACCAGAGGACTGTGCAGTGCTGACATAGTTCAAAGATACTCATATACAACAGTGAACTGTGGTGAGGCTGATGTCTTAAAGACATTGGTGAACCAGGTTCCAAACCACCTTATAAAAATGTATTAAACAATAGGTTATATAAACAAAACTGTAAATCTCAAAATCCTTGATCAATTTAAGTTTTTGAGGGGAAAGTGTAATAATATTTTTTGTGCTTTTCATTTTGCTTTTATTTTAAACCACATAATTGCTTTTGTCAGTAAGATATAAGCTAGTTTTCCCAAATGGCTTTATAGTGTATTCTATATATGGACCAAAAAAGCAACACATCTCTTTCATTGTTCTTCATCATTTCTAATTATTTCCTGTATAATTATTACAGCATACTTACTTATTTTTGCATAGAAAATATTTATCATCTTTTAAAAAGGTTGTTTTTAAAATGTTAAATCAGGATAAGTTAAAATTGATCACTGGAGATCAAATATATTAAGGGAATTTCAGTTTCCTATTAAAAACAATTTCAACAAAATCCATAAATACTCAGATTGTTACTAAAACCAGTGAACACATTTCAGGCCATTCAAAGCCATCTAAAATTTAAAGTGTTATTCCAGATAGAGACTAGGAGGAATGGGTAATTTAGTCATGCTAATTCTTGAAGTTGGAGAGGGAATTCAGCACTTCTTAGTTATGAATGAAATTTCACATACTAAAGGCTGATTCCTTATTTATGTCATGCAGAGCCAGTGCCTTGCAGAGACTTTCTACTGGATTATGTAAATTGTTGTAGAAACCATCAGAAAGATCAATAGAACAAGTTTGCTCATTATACATTATATATCTTAATTAGTGTATGATCCAGCAGCCATTAATATCCTGTGATAAATCGTGCAGTCATTGAAACTTAAGCATGTAGAAGCTTGTTATATTTTTCTGGAAAAAAAAAAATATTTTTATTAGGAAAACAAAACTTATTGACACACAGCATGGTAATAAATAATGTTTTTAAAGACCTTCGTCAGATCTCCCTGAAGCTGCTGACAGTCATTCCAGGACTGTGTGCACTGCAAGAGCCATGCTAACAAGGAAAAAGTAGAATTTAGTTGTGGTGTTCACCACTGTCTCTATCTACCCGAAACAAAAACTGTGTTAGCATTCACAATGTCATTCTTAATCTCATATCTCTACAGATAGGCTGTAAGTAGTGTGCTGAGTTGCTTCTGCTCGGTTTGTTTTGTGTGTAATTGTAGAGTTTTGAGCCTAGTTCTCATGAATGGCTTCCTTTCCATTATCCTTTTTAACCTGCTAATATAGATGTAGCCAAAAAGAGACAGTTTGGGCCTCACTGCAATCCAGGCCATTACTGAAAAGCTGTGGTAGAACGGAGTCCAAGGCTTAGCAGCTCAAGGTTTAACCAAAGGAATTCTGCTGTAGGTCAGTTTGGAAAAATTGTCCTCATATTCTTCATTTTACTATCTCAACCAGAAGTTTTGAGCATCCTCTCCATATTAAAAAAAAAAAAAAAAAAAATAAAAGGAATTTTTAAAAGTGTTGGAATTTTTATTCCAGTTAAAAACCCCTCAAGTGTTGTTATACAATTTTTTGTTGCTTTTAGAAATACTAGGAAAAGTTTCAGGCATTTCAAATTTTGCTATTTAGCTGTTCAAGTTGGTATAAATTTTGCCTCTTCATGTTTCTGAAAGATTTGCCACGTGCTGTTTGGTCTAAAGGCCCTGGTTCTGAAGGGCTTTGTTGAGAGAACCAGTGCTGGCCTTAAGGATGTGATGTGCTTACCTCTCAGGTGGTGTTACATTAACATGTATTTGTAGCTCTCAAGTTTTGCAGAGAAAAGTATCTGAATTATTTTTCGTGGTGTTCTGCTGCACAACTAAAATGAAACCTTAACCCATATTTCTGTACATGTTAGTTTAGCACTTAGAAAAATTACTCTGTAGTTTAAAGTAAAATGTGAAGATTGTGATTTCAGAGGAATTCTAGCTAAATGTTCCTGTGATGGTTTTCAGCAGATAATTTATGTTAGCTAAAGGGCCATTCTGTTCATTCTCCTGTAGAACATTTGTTCAGTTTTAAATGATTACCTCTGTCAGCATTCACTGTCACAGTAGTATATGAAGATGATGTTAGAAAGACCCTTCTTCATCTCCTGCCTTCAAATTCTCTTTGAACCACCATCCTTTTGCTTTACAGAATGAACTTAGGGAGTTGAACTTATCTTTCATGTGAAATAAAGTAACATTATCAGTGTAAATTTAATTTTCTCTGTTGTTTTGAAATAAATCCAAATCATAAATTGAGATAGTTCTCTGTTTATGAAGGCTGTCCAAGATATGTGTCACTTAAGAGGGACATATTTGGTAGGGCATAGCCTTTTTACTGGATGTCAGTGAAATGACTGGAAATTTTGGCAAAGATATGGCAGCCTTGGTCAGTATCTTGATTTATTTCTGCTATTTTACCTAAACCACTCATAATACAAACTGAAATGAGCACATTCCATGAAGATTTTGCAAGTCTCAGGGATTTTCAGATGAATTTCCAATTAAAAGAATAGCCTGGACAGAGAAAAAAAAATCCATCACTGAACATGTGCTAACCTTGTAGGCTCATAAAACACTGATGAATTTAACCTGTGCATGTCTAAGTAATGATACATAAGTTAGAATTTTAACATCTATCCGTCTCAAAAAATTAGATTCTCTCCTTTCTGAAAATTTCAAATACTTTTATCTTGTCAGCTCCCAAAGGACCTCTTAGAGAGTTCTAGTCTGAAATCACAGACAATACTGGTATAGATTTTGAGGTTCTTCTGGTGTGCAGCAATACACAGTGCTCTCTGTGGCTGCTAAATGTGTACTGCTAAATGCAGGTTCCAGGAAGTGATAGGCCAGATCATGGTTTGGTCTCTTAGGAAGGGGTTCATTTTGTAAAATCAAAAATAGGCAGCTGCTCAAAGCTGATGTCTTCTTTTATATTCATGGGTGAAGATATAAATCTTCCATTTTGTCTTAGGTATATGGTTTTTCAAGAAGAATCCTGCAGCTGCCTCTATCTTTCTTTATTTCCTAGACAGAAAAATGACTGATGTCAGGAAATAGCACCCCCAAGGCTTTTGGCATACAGTGAGAGAACAAATTGTGGAACATTATGTCATTCCCTGTAGCTTTTCACATTTTTATTTGTGTTAAGCTGTCACATGGTTTTGAAAGGGTCATTTTATTTTCCAGTAAGGAAGTAATTCCCACCCTTCATTAAAATTATGGTAAAGTCTAGATTAAACACTTGGAAAAGGTCATCATTCTTACTATTTCTTTACAGAAACATGAATATTTACATTTCTTTTTTTTTAGAGAATATGCTCCTTTCATGCTACTTTTCTAATATGTATTTTTAGGTAAAGCTCTTGAGTCAGTGAACAGTTATTTAGGCTCAAACTGAGATACCATTATTATATACAGCAATAATTAACTTTTTTTTTTTTTTTGAGTAAGTTCCTGTTAAAAACGTTATTTCATTATCTGAAGCGTTTTGGTTGAATTTTTAGTTCCACTGTGGTCAGTTATAGTCAGTACCTGTTTCTTCAACACACTTGGCCATACACATACATATACAAATACATATACAGGTACATATACATATGCATATGCATATACATATACATATATATACACATATACATATGCATACACACATACAGAGTTTTATTGCATTAAATTATGTGGTAATATGTATAAGGATATAATATAGAATCTTTTTTTAAACCATATGAAATGTTTATATAGTGCATATTTATATAGCACAAAGTCTGCGATACTGATTCATTACATTGTTGTAATTAAAATACTTGAGATAAAGTTTTATACCATTCCATACATTTTTTTTCTTTTTAGCTTCCCCATGGGTAGATAAAAGTCGAACTCCTAACAAAATAGATCTGTATGATGTACGCAGAAGACCATGGTAAGCTTTCTTTTTAAAGGTTTATATATATATATATATATATATATATATATATGTGTGTGTGTGTGTGTGTATATATTTACATCACTTACTTTCTAAATATTACTGTAAAAATCTTTTTTTCTGTATGTTTTAATGGTACTTACTTCTTACTTTTAGATACTATTTTCTTTTTAAAACTCGTTAGTTTTTTGAAATATAAAAAATTTCAAATTATACTCCTTGTTATGCAATATCACTATAGTTGTACTTTTGGATTACATAGATTTTCATAGGAGGATAACTACCAAATATGTGTAAGAGAGTTAAAAACTCTGATTTTGTGCCAAAATCAATTTTAATCCTGAGTATTAGACTGAACCATTCTTCCAGACTTCTGGAAATATTTCAAAATATGCCTCAGTGGTTTAGACCAGTAATAAAATCACTAAATGTGTAAAAGATGGGAGAGCAGTGGGATTACTTCTCATGATTTTTTTATGTAACCCTCTCAAGACATAAAGCATACTGATACTTGGATATAGTTGGACATATTTTTTTCAAAAGACTAAGTATTTCTGCCTAAGCTGGGCTGAGTAATAATTAATCTGTCATCAAGATCTGTGGCTATGAAATAGCTGTCCTGTTTTTCAGTTGTGTGAAAACAGTGAATTTTGATTAGTATATCCTACGTCCAGACTACCCTAATGTGGTTTAGACTTAGATTTACCTAAGAGACACAGCGAGAGAGGAAATAACACACACATGGGTTAAAAAACAACACATGAGTTTTGTACTGGCTACAACAGGAGGATTTCATTGGTTCAGCTACTTTGAGTTTAGAGATCACAGAGTGTCTTCCATTGCACAGAAAAAAATGTTTATGCAAATTTGTGTAATTCATACCATTTATTTATTTCAGGTATATCCAAGGAGCAGCATCTCCTAAAGACATGCTTATTTTAGTGGATGCGTAAGTGTTTAATGTCTGAATATTGACATTAGCGGGGTAAAAGTACTTTGGTACATTGAACAAATCTCTGTATGCTGAAAAATAGAGAGGCAGTTAAGGGATCTCATATGCAAGCTTCAAAAATCTTGGTATGAGCAAAATAAATACGTAATAGAAAATAGTTCCAAAAAGCCCAAACCAAACATGAAATTTATTTAAACTGGAGGCAAGGAAATGTTTATTTATATCACTTTTTTTTTTTTCAACTTATTAATTAATGCAGCAATCAAATGAATATATCTCATGTGCATGCCAAGTTTTGTTGTAAAGCACAAACCTAAAAACAAACGACTAGAAGCACTACATGTGCCAATGTAGATGTGACAATGATTTAATGCATATGAAAGATAAGAATGTATGTGGACTTTGTGTATTTTACAATACAGATTTAAAAATTGCCGAGTTGTGTTAGTATAAAAATTGCTAGAAAGTAAGCAAAGAAATTAATAAAATCTTGCTCTCTGCCTCGGCAAGGCTTCTGTGGTGTAGGCAATGTTGAGGGACTGAAGGGAGCATTGAACCTGATGTGTCAGATTGCTTTATGCTGAAAAGCTTCTGAGGCATAGAATTTGCATTTAATGCTTTTACACGTGGTGAAGTGCTTTCATATCAGCAGTGAGTTTTATCAACATTTGTTATTTCTTCACTTCAGTTTAGGTTTTGCCTTGAATCAAAGAAGCTGTCATTTGCATCTCTGGAAATCCAGAGCTGTAAATCTGAGTGTAGGAGTATAAAATGTTTAGGTAATGCATTGGTTGAAGGTGTTAAACTTAGATTTCTTGAAAAGGAAATGAGTAGAGGATGTAGCACTATGATGTCACCTGAGGCACAGGACTGGGACTTTGTATGCCAGTTTTGGACTTACTTTGATAATTATAAATAGTTTAATTACACTAATGATGAGTTGGAGAATTCAGGAATAAATGGAATATTTTAATGTTAAAGTGGATGCTCTGTATTTTCTTTTTATGTTTTACGTAATAGTTGCTGAATTTAGCTTTTCTATTGTGAATTTTTTTAGGAGTGGGAGTGTCAGTGGGTTGACATTGAAGCTGATCCGCACGTCAGTCATTGAGATGTTGGAGACCTTGTCTGACGATGACTTTGTGAATGTAGTTTCTGTGAGTATTTGTTCTTTCCACAGAATTTGTATTGTCAACAAAGCCAAAAGCAAACTATTTTTAATACCAGATGTGAGATACTTGAATGTTAAGCTGCAAAGAGACTTAAAATATATTGTATTTGTTTTTTTATAAAATAAAATGAATGTCCTAGATTTGATATTACATATACATTTGAGTGAAGGGCAAAAGTAATTTAAATAAACTCCTGCATACCCAGATTTTTCTTTGCAATATTAGCCTATTGTCTGTATAAAACCTCTTCCATTAGATTGGTGTATGCAAATTCTCTTGAAATAATTGCTGGTTCCCAGATTTTCTACATAGAAGATATTTGGATTGCTCATGTTGTTTGATGCATAAGGACAGTACATGTGGAGCCATATATCTGACCTGACCAAGAGATGTTTTTGAGAAGATCTACAGTTCTTCATCACTTGATGGGTGGCAAAACAATTTTTCTCATAATAAATAATAAAATAGAGGGAATAATCTATCAGGAAGGTATGGAAAATTTTCCATTTTCAGGAGAATGCCTTGGATATCATGTTCTTGTCTTGGGAAAAGCTTTTTATTTTTATTTTTTTTTATTATTATTATTAAGCTGTTCAGCTGTAGAGTTTTATTCTGTGGATTTAGGATGAGGACACTGGCGTATTCTTAATAACAAGAGACAGCCTCAATGATGAGTAACTGGAATGATTTTGGAGATAATTTTCAACTTGAAGATTCATGTTGTAGCCAGCCTGAGGGAGAAAGACCTGAAATTTAACTGACATAAATATTTTTTAAAACTACTTGTTGCTTCACTGTTTTCTGACAGTCTAGCTAGAACTTTCTGCAAGGGGCAGATAAGTGTTTATTCTCAATGGTATTTCGTTCGTTAATTTGGATAGTAGATAAGACCATCTTCCTTGGTGTAAATTGCACTGAAAAAAAATCAACAAAAACCCACCCTGATTTTTTAAATAGTGTTATTAAAGGAAATAAGCTTCTCTGTAATGATATTGGGGAGCTGAACTCTTAGTTTCACCAATTAAAAAAAATTTTAAAAAATGCTTGCAATCTAAACTGATAGAAATTGATTTCTATGTTCAGCAGAGCTATGACAGCTCTCACTGCTGGAAAATCTGGACCCCTACAACCTCTTGATTTACACATATTTCCAAATGCTTTTGTTACATTTGCTCCAAGATGACCAGAAATAGTGTAGCTTAATGCTAAGCCTTCCTTAGGCTGTGAGTCCTTTATTAGCTAAGGGTCACTATTATTCTAATGAGGCCTCAAGGTTGGATTTGTGTCAGAAAAGGACCAGAAACCCTCAATATTTTCTACAGTACATTTTCCCAGGGGTTTGTTACTTACAATATATAAGGGCCATTTTTCCCCTTTGAATGAACTTCAGAGGTTCACACCAGAAATTTGATTGCAGAACCAAAGAGGACATTTTGGTCATGTTGTTTTCATCATCAGTGGAGGCTAACAATCACAGAAATGTGCATAATAGAGCATGGCATCTCTAGATCTTTCATAAAGTGCTATTTGATGTTGTTCCCTTAAAATTTAAAATTGTTTCTATTAAAACTTTTCAGCATTATAATTACTTTGGTATAACCTATGTTTTCATGCATTTAGGTGATTTATGAATGGAATTGTGGTGGAAGAGTTAAAATATATATATATTTTGTTTCTCTAATAGACAGGAAATAATAAGCTATAGATAGGAAACAAATGGATGTACTACTATAAGGCATTCTATATGTGAAAGAAGTGAACACAGAAGTTTGGTCTTTGAAGACTTTTTTTTAAAGATTTCTTTTGTTTTTTAAAGATTTGGCAGAATCAGTTTAACAGTTGGACTAGATAATCTTTCAAGTTGTTTCCAACATAAACAATTCTATGAATCTATCATCTCGATTCACAAAATATTCCATAAGGGAATAGGTCTATCTAAAGGCCAACTCCAGTGCTTTCCTAGTAAACTCAACAGGCAAAAAAACAACTTAAACATTTTTTTCTGGGTGAAATAAATGCAGATTTATTCAATATTTTTTGAAAATTTATTCAATATATTGCATGTTTTTTGCTTAAGAACATTTTCTCCTGAAGCATCCCAGTATTAGATGTGATAGGCTAATCAAAATGTCCAAAAAGCTGGGTGAAAATGTTAATATAGCATTAGCATATGGATACATGAACACTAACACTAACTAGAAGTTATCCACAATTTTTCTTTCCCTCATGGATCTTTTGGCCTAAAATGTGACAGTTGTTTTATGGCTTGTTAGCTTTAATAACCATGGAGTCTTTGGTCCGGGGTTTTGAGTTAACTAGAGAGCTGTTTCACTGCTAACCTCTGCCAAGATGTTGTCCCACAAAGCCCATATGCACGATGAATCATGCCCACAACCGAAAGACATGGATTTAAGCTCATGTCAATCACTTCTTAAAAGTGACAGGATGATTTAATGAACTGTGCCTTTTATATGAGGAAATCCTAAGGAAAAAAAGCTTAAAAGTAGATGTGCTATAGCTTTACTGAATAAGCATAGTTCCTGCATTTATTTCCAGGGAAAGAAAGGTTGAATGAGCAGTTAAGTTGTAAAAAGATAGCCAGGGGTTAATATATCATGGTTTCCTTTGGGATTTGCATGTTTCTTATCTGAAGTGCTGTGCTTTGTTGCAGGGAGAAAACCTGCTGTTTGCAAGGGCTTAAACGTATGAGTAATACAGCTGTTTTCCCACTAATCCGGTTAGAGGCTTTGATAGCAGCGAGCAGTAGATGATAGGGGCAGCAATTCCATCCCAGCACGTCGTGATTTAGTAGCTTGGTTTCAGATGTTGACACAGAGAGTGTAATTTGTTTGTGATTGTGGGTAGTGTGCAGGAGAAATGTATTTCAAATCTGCAGAGGTGCAGAAAACCACACAAAGGAGAAACCTCTGTTACAGCAGCAGATGTGTTAAAGGTCAGGAGCTGCTGTACTTTTTAAATTCACTTAGCCTTTGTAAAAATCCAAACTAGTATTTACTGCTTAGGAACTGGAAATTAAATGTCAAGAGCATATGAGATAGAACAGAATCATATTCTGGGAAAATTGAAAGTTCATCTCCTGCTCTTGTGCAGTTCTGCGCATCGAGCAAACTCAGAGGGAAGGTGATTTCTACATGAGTTGATTCCAAAGAAAAAACTGTGCACCCAACCTATGAAATTATTGTTGGGGATTAAAAAAAAAACAAAAAACCTGTGGATGATGCACCTCTTTTCCCACTGATTTTCATGGAATTCCACAGTTCAGTGCTTGCAAAGTTGTTTATTTTGTCTCTCTTACTCCTAAACTGGTAAAATCTTTATACCTTCCTAATTAAAATATTTCAATATGCTAACAGACAGAAAAGAATTTTTTTTTTAAAAGATTTGTCAATATATCAAAGGGCTCAGTTCCCATTCTGCTACATGATCCATCCTGTATTCTGCAGTTCATATTGCACCTATATTATCTTAAATACAGGGAGATGTTCCTTCCTTCTGGGAACTTTCTTAGGTTTATTATTATATAAAAAATTAAATAACATGCCATGGGTGAAAACCTTAGCCTGAAGTTACAGTGGAGAGAGGAGGATGCTAGATTCTAGAGCCAAATAGCATGTCATGCTTATACTAAATTTTAGCTTTGTAGGAGTGTACTTTTGTTTGGTTGGCAAAAACTTGAAGAGTTTCATTTAAAAATAACTTAAACTTTTTTTCCTTTATTATTTCAATGTAATGTTTTTACTGGACCTGAAATTAAATTGCATACTCAAGTGATATGACCGTGTTTTTTACTGTGTTTTTGAATTTTGACCCAGAAAAATTCATTGGTGCTTAGTTTTCCCAAACAACATCACTACTTGAGGGAGAAATTAAACATGATCATGGTATCAGTGGAACTGAAGTATTTCTCTTGGTGGATCTAGAAGAAATGAGAAGAATTCCTGTATGAAGGGCTGTGCCAATGTCCTTTGGTTCTTAATTTCTCATTTTCCTTAATGTACAATGCTAAGGAGAAAATATGAAGATGCCTGCCATCTTTTTCATTATTTAACAAATAAAAAACTAGATAGAGAATCAGGTTTCCTCTACAATAAGTATGTCTGCATAAGAACCTCTCTTAGTGATTTAATCCTGAAGCATTTCAAGTAATGAATCACAGTAGCTGCAATTAAGTGTGCAGCCTCCTCAGCATCATAGCTGTGTGAGGTAGTAGACAAATACATGTAATTCCTTTTTTTTTGCAGGGGACCTGGTTTGGTGTTTTTTCCTAGTCACTGAAGAGTTGTAGAAAGGCAAGTTTAAGTCTGAGAGTTGAGCTTCCTGATTCTCTTAACAGCAATCCATCTAACTGACCTTTCAGTTTCTCTTCAATTGAATGGTTCATTTTCAAGAAAAGGGGGGCAATGATAGCTGCAGATAAACACATCTTGGTAGCAATGTTCCTTAATGGAAAATCATTAGCATTCCTTAATGGTAGGTCATTATCTTGCATCTTCCATATTCAAGGAGCAAGTGAATTAAATGTGTTTTTTCATACAGGTATATTTAATAAGCACTGTAGGTGCAGGCTGAAAAAAAGCTTAGAGAAGTTATGATCAAAATCCAGTATTCAGTTTCTACCTTGCTAATAATTACAGGTAGAGAAAGGCTATGTATCTACAGAAATAAATGTAGGGAAAATATATCTGGAGGACAGGTTTAGCAAATGTAATGAAGGTGAGCATTCTGCAAATAAAATTGAAGAAAATTTGGAAATTATGGAAACCAAGGGATTATTAAGAAGTTGGAAAGAGATTTATTTTTAGCAGCAGGAATTACAGTAGTATAAACAGTGTCATGGAATATTTATCTTCTTGTAGAATTATGTTTCTTTTTACCTTCTCTCTAAAAGGAAAGTCAAGAAAGGAGTCAGTGAAGATCTGTTAGAAGTCTTCCGGGGGAAAGCTGAGAGGGTTGGAGTTGAGAGG